GGTTGGTGGTTTTTAAAACTTTCCCAAACCTATAACATTCCAAAAATAATTCTGCTCAACTTCTAGTGAGGCAAATTGAACACTTTTAGAGCAATTTAGCAATATGAATCAAAAACCTTCAAAAATCCATAATCATTCACTATAAATTCTACTTGTAGTGATTTATTCTAAAGAAATAATCAGACAAGTTTACAAATGGTATAAAATTGGTTATTTCTACTGTGAAAATAGTATCCAGTTTCAGTTTTGAAGTAATCCCACCAGTCCTCGCAACAAGAAAAATGTTGACCGAATTGAAATAAATAACATTTCTTAGATCATCATAGAATTGAGGTCACAAGGCAAAAACTGCCATCCTGAAATTGAGAAAGACAGGAAAATACAGAGGATCACAGCTGCAGTCAGCTTAAAGACAGCAGAAGCCAGTGGTGCCAGCAACCAGTAGAAATAGTTTAATGATAATTTTGACAAATTGTTGCAGACTGAATGTAGACTAGCTGGGAGTGAAAAACTCCAGGGGGCCCACTGTTAAGGGTCCCCATACTTACATAAGTTTTAAATCCAGGAGCCCCACCAAGTTCTCACAGTGAAGATGGAAGAAAAATACCCTCATATTTCAGGCAGGGAGAGAAGAAAAGTAACCATTTTGAAATATGGCCACAGCATTCTCCCTATCAAAGGGTTGATCTTTAAGGGAAACTACTTTACCAGATTCTTATCTGATCTCAGGGAAGGGCATTTAGACAACTCCAACCTATCTAGCTTCCACAGGGATAGGAGGAAAAGAAATTATGGAACACTTCTGAAAGTCACAGCCCAGGGACCCAAACCTATTTACTGAGACTTCATCACAGGTAATAGAATACTTCTCCCCAACAATTTGCCACTACATCAACAGAGTTTCAATATAATAACAATGAATTACAACTGAGAGGGCTACACACCACTCTATTAGAGAAGTTCTTGGGCAAATCCAAAGACAACAGGGGAGGTGGGGGGGAAAAGGAAACTGAAGCCTCTGGCACTTACAACTATAGCAAACAAGAAACACAACCCAGCTCCTAACCAGATTAACATAATACCTCACACTAAAAATACTAGTTACCTCAATTCCTATTACCCAATATATAATGGCTAGCTTCCAAATTAAAAGGCTGTAAAGAATGCTAAAAGGCAAGAAAAAAATATAGTCCAAATAGACAAAGCTACTATAAGACCTAGACTAAGATATGACATAGATTTTGGAATTATCAGATAGGAAATTTAAGTAACTATAATTATATTAAAGACTCTTAAGGAAAAAGTAGGCAACATGCAAGAACAGATGGGTAATGTAAGCAGAGATGGAAACTCTAAGAAAGAATCAAAAGGAAATGCTAGATATCAAAAACACAAACAAAAATGAATAATTCATTTGATGGGCTTCTAAGTTGACTGGACATGGCTAAGGAAAATAAAATCAGTGAACGTGAGTATATGCGAATAGAAACTCCCCAAACTGAAATGCAAAGGAAAAAAAATGAAAACAAAAAATCATAACAGAATATCCAAGACTTGTGGAACAATTTAAAAAGGTGTAATTAGGCATAACGGAAGAAAAAAGAAAAGAGCAGAAGAAATATTTGCAGTAATAATAGCTAAGAATTTTCCAAAATTAGCTGACAGACACCAAACCACAGATCCAGGAATCTCAGAGAACACCAAGCAGAATAAGGACAAAAACAAACAAACAACTATATCTAGGCATATCGTTTTCAAACTGCAAAAAAGAAAATCTTGAAAAAAAACAGAGGAAAAAACACTTTACCTATGGAAGAACAAGGGTTAGAAATACATTGGACTTCTCTTCAGAAACCATGCCAGCAAGAAGAGAGTAGGGCAAAATATTTAAAGTTGTGAAAGAAAAAACCACCAACTTAGAATTCTGTACCTACTAAAATTATCCTTCAAATGTGAAGGAGAAATAAACCCTTTCTCGAACAAACAAAAATGAGAGGAGTTTCTGGCCACTAGACCTGCCTTACAAGAAATGTTAAAAGTTTTTAGAGAAAAGGAAAATGACATGGGTCAAAAAACTTGTATCAACATAAGAAAGAGCATCAGGAAAAGTCATAAATGAAGGTAAAATAAATTTGTTTTTTTATTCTTAATTGATCTGATAACTATTTGTTCAAAGGAATAATGACAACAATGTATCCTCAATAAAATATTAGCAAATCAAATCTAACAATGTGTAAAAAGAGTTACACACCATGACCAAGTGGGGGACCAGGGGTATATAAAAACTCTCTAAAACATCTGCTCAATTTTTCTGCTCGATTTTTCTATAAATCTTAAGCCGTCCTAAAAAATCAGATATTCTTTTTTTTTTTTTTAAGTCAGAGTTGTTCATTCAGATTGTATATATATTGGTAATCCCTCAATTGTCATCTCTAAAGACCAGGTCATTGTGACAAAGACTGATAGTTACCTACACAATATGTGTACCTGTTCTTTACTAATTAAATCTTGATTTAGCCTGGGTGACAATGTGTTCAACTAAAACATTTTATTGTCTAGCTTTCTTGCATCTAAAGGTTGGCTAATGAGACATAAACAGAAGTTGCCAGATTCCAGGAAGGTTCCACAAGAGGGGTTAAGACAGCCAGCATGTGTCCTTTTTTATAACCATTCTCCTCTTCCAAATTTCTGCCAGAAATGTGAGTGTGCAAGCTGGAGCTCCAGCAGCCACCTTTGCACCATGACACAACCTTGTGGATGGAAGTCACGTAGTAAAGAAGGTAGAGCAAAAGGAAAGATGGAGCCTGGACATCTAATAACACTGTGTAATCATCATACATACCAATTCTGGACTTTTTTTTTTTTTTTTTTTTTTGAGATGGAGCCTTGCTCTGTCACCAGGCTGGAGTGCAGTGGCATGATCTCGGCTCACTATAACCTCCGCCTCCTGGGTTCAAGCGATTCTCCTGCCTCAGCCTCTCGAGTAGCTGGGACTACAGGCAAGCACCACCATGCCCAGCTAATTTATGCCCAGCTAATTTTTCTATTTTTAGTAGAGACAGGGTTTCACCATGTTGGCCAGGATGGTCTCAATCTCTTGACCTCATGATCCGCCCGCCTTGGACTTTCAAAGTGCTGGGATTGCAGGTGTGAGCCATTGCACTCAGTCGACTTTTTTTTTTAAGAGACAAGGTGTCACTCCATTGCCCAGGCTGGAGTGCAGTGACTCAATCACAGCTCACTGCAGCCTCAACCTCCTGGGCTCAAGCAATCCTATCACCTCAGCCTCACAAGTAGTAAGACTACAGGTGTGTATCTGCATCAAACTAATTTTGTGTGTGCGTGTGTGTGTGTGTGTGTGTGTGTGTGTGTGTGAGCCAGGGTCTTACTTTGTTGCCCAGGCTGGTCTTGAACTCTTGGCTTCAAGAGATCATTCTGCCTCCCAAAGTGCTGGCATTATAGGCATGAACCACCAGGCCCAGCTCAGACTTCTTTTATACAAAAGAGGAATAAGCATTCACCTTGCTTACACCACATTATTAGCTGTTTCTGTTATTAGCAGATGAATACAACGTCACTCTATTATATAGATGTGATAAATGAAAGTCTCAATCTAAAATCACCTTAACTCAAATATAAATAAAATTAACAAAAGTAACATTTCTTCCCACCTACAAGCCTTTGTGGGTTAGACATATTTCCTTCCTCTTCTTACCTGACCACTGCAGAAGGATCAAGGTAGCAGCGACTTTCCAAGTCCCAAATAATCCTTTTCTTTATGCACTCTGCTTGATTCCTAAATTCAGTGTCCTGTAAAATATAAGATAAAGACTTCTGTTCTCTGTATCTGTGCCATGATTTCATTCTGCTCCATCTATAGGGCATTCTTTTAATGGATCTGTTCACAATACTTTTCTTACGACTACTATTACTACTATAAGTATGACTACTATTGCAACTACTACCACCACCTTAAAATTATGAGTACTTTATTAATAAAGTATATAAGATAAATTACATATATAATAGTTACATTGATCCGGTACTAAGATCCAAATACTGACTAAGATAACCCCAATCAATGATTCTCAACTCTAGATGTACATTAAAATCATCTGGATTTTTTTTTTTTTTTAAATAACACCTGGACCCGGTGCAGTATCTCACACCTGTAATCCCAACACTTTAGGAGGCCAAGGCAGGAGTACTGCTTGAGGCCAGGAGTTTAAGACCAGGCTGGGCAACAAAGTGAGACCTCCATCTCTAAAAAAATTTAAAAATTAGCCGAGTGTGGTGGCATGAGCCTGTGGTCCCAGCTACTCACGAGGCTGAGGCAGGAGAATTGCTTGAGCCTAGGAGGTTGAGGCTACAATGAGCCTCAATAATCACACCATTGCATTCCAGCCTGGGTAACAGAGTGAGACCCTGTCTCAAAAAAATAAAAAACCAAAAAAGCAAAAAACACCTGGCATTGGTACTATTTTAAAAGTAAATTCTTACATAGTTTACCTGGGTTAAGGCTTGGCCATTGTCATTGTTTTCAATGCTTTCCTGGTGACTGTAATGTGCAGCCAGGATTGAGAATTAACAATCTAATCTAAAACATAAAATATAATCTGAATGTCTAAAATAAAATGTCTGATCTAAATTCAAATAGAAATCTAAGAAAAGTATGAATTTTCACTAATCACAATGATGAGAAAAGATACTGCGCAGTGTTTTTCCAATATTCCTAGCCTCATCTCTACTATTTTATATATTTAGAGTCAGACAATGAAAAATAATTCAACCATCCTTATTTTACAAATTATTTTATTAAATGTTTCCATCAGTGGATTATCAGCTCATTCAAGAAACATCTGCAAGTGTGTTATACTATTTTCTATGCCCTTGACAAATTTGTGGTAATTTATATAATTAATAATAAGTATATTAAAGTATGTCCATACAATGTCACATTATACAGCAAGTACAAATAAAGAAAAAGAGTGAGACTGCTTTTTATGTAATGTGCAAAAATCTCAAAAATACACAACAAAGTAAAACAAAGCAAGTGCATATAGTGTGTTTAAGTATGTACTCTTTACATTTGTGTAATAAAAATGATGGGGAAAGAATATATGTATGTATTAGTGTATGCATATATATATGATTAAACACAACTCAGTTTTAAAAAATGAAAAACCGGCAGGGCGCAGTGGCTTGCGCCTGTAATCCCAGCACTTTGGGAGTTGGAGGTGGGCAGATCACTTGAGGTCAGGAGTTTGAGACCAGCCTGGCCAATATGGTGAA